GTTTAGGGTTTAGGGTTTAGGGTTTAGGGTTTAGGGTTTAGGGTTTAGGGTTTGCGTGCAGCGGTTTGCAATATTAGTGGCTGTGATGCTTTCGAGCCAAACTAAAGATGAACAAACTCATGCTTGTGTTGCGCGGCTGAGGGAAAGTGGACTTCTAAACCCTCGAGGGTTTAGGGTTTAGGGTTTAGGGTTTAGGGTTTAGGGTTTAGGGTTTAGGGTTTGCGTGCAGCGGTTTGCAATATTAGTGGCTGTGATGCTTTCGAGCCAAACTAAAGATGAACAAACTCATGCTTGTGTTGCGCGGCTGAGGCACGCCGCACTGGCACTAAACCCTAAACCCTAAACCCTAAACCCTAGTAGATCGCTAAACCCCAAACCCTAATAGAGTGTGTTCGTAGGAGTGCGCGGGCCGCTCGTCCCGCACGCGGCGAACGGCGCGGCGAGGGTTTAGGGTTTAGCGTCCAGGGTTTAGGGTTTAGGGTTTAGGGTTTGGGCGCAGAGAAGCTGCGGGGGCTTTGGGTTCAGCGCCTAGGGTTTAGGGTTTAGGGTTTAGGGTTTAGGGTTTGAGCGCAGAGAAGCTGCGGGGGCTGTTGTTTGGCGTGGGGTTTCACAACAACAAAACCCTTTTTTTGAAAGAAGCAGCACAAACCCTAATTCGAGAACATGGAGGAGAAGTTCCCCAAACCCTCGAGGGTTTAGTGAAGCTCCGCGGAGTGGGGAGGAAGATGGCCAACATCGTCATGCACGCGGTCCCCAAACCCTAAACCCTAAACCCTAAACCCTAAACCCTAAACCCTAGGCGCTAAACCCTAGCTTTCAAACCCTAGGCCCTGGACCCTGGTTGCGCCGCGGCGGCGCCCGCGGGCCCACAGTGCGCAGCTGCACGGGCGAGCCTGCCCGAGCCAAACCCTAAATTAGGGTTTAGGGTTTATTAGGGCTTAGGGTTTAGGTTTGGGTTTTCAGGCTTGGAATTCTTTCCACGGCATTGCCGTTGATGTGCATGTACACCGCATTAGCAACAGGTGGGCCAAATCTCAAACCCTAAACCCTAAACCCTCGCAAACCCTAAACCCTAAACCCTCGCAAACCCTGAACCCTCGCAAACTTTAAACCCTCACAAACCCTAAACCCTTAAAAACTCCAAACCCCGGCCATAAACCCTAAACCCAACAAGCCCTATACGTTTAATGCTAAACCCTAAACCCTAGCAACCGTAAACCCTAGAAGTCCTAAACCCTAGCAGACCCCCGGAAACCCTAAACCCTAGTTGCGATATTCTGGGTCTCCAAGCTGTAACTAGACCTGAACCCTAAACCCTAAACCCTAGAGCCACGTCTCGGGAAGAGACACAGCGCAGCTGTACGAGCTAGGGTTTAGGGTTTAGGGTTTAGGGTTTGTTCAGGAAGCACTGGGAGGAAGTGAATCTTCTTTTGGTTGGCTTTGGGCAGCAAATATGCAAACCCGTTAATCCTGCTGTAAGCCCTAAACCCTAAACCCTAAACCCTAAACCCTGAACCCTAAACCCTAACCCGTGTGTGCGGCAGCTTTGCTTAGTTGGTGGCTGAGGAGATTCAGGGAGGCTGCTGAGTAAGGGTTTAGGGTTTAGGGTTTAGGGTTTAGGGTTTGTGGTTTGCAGTGCGCCATTTGCCTCGCCCGGCCTTACTGCCCTGTTGGCCGTAAACTCCGCCTCCCCCAAATCGCCGTAGAAGAAAACCCTAAACCCTAAACCCTAAACCCTAATATCTAATTCATGTGGGAGAGCTTCTGATATTGTCTCTTGTCTAGTTGTCAAAGTTTTAAACCCTTCGCTCTGCCAGCAGAAGTTTAGGGTTTAGGGTTTAGGGTTTAGGGTTTCAGGCACAGCGAAGAGGCGGCGCGATGCTGCAAACCCTAAACCCTAAACCCTCGCACTTAGGGTTTTGCAAACCGCAAACCCTAAACCCTCAGGTTGAGCCTAGGGTTTGCTTTCCAAAGACGCAACGCTCGCATCTTGGCTTCCGCCCTTCTTTAGATCACGAGCTAGGGTTTAGGGTTTAGGGTTTAGGGTTTAGTCCGGGGCCAACTCCCTGTCGTAGCGGTGCTGCAGCAGCTGCTGCAGCAAAGTTGCTGCTGAAAGGCTTACGCCTGGAATCCGCAGCAGCTGCTGCAGTGAGTAGAGGCTGACTTGGCCCAGTGTACGTACACCGCACTGCAGCAGCAGCAGCAGCAGCAGCAGCAGCAGCAGCAGGTGCAGCAGCGTGGACAGCAGGAGCGACAGCAGCAGCAGGAGTTGCAGCAGCAGCAGCAGCAGCAGCAACACTGCAGCAGGTGCAGCAGCAGCAACGGCAGAGGCTGAGATAGGGCAACAGCAGCAGCACCCAGCAAAGTGCTTGAGCTAGGGTTTAGGGTTTAGGGTTTAGGGTTTAGGGTTTACTTCCTTCAAGCCCTCAAGTGCTCTCCGCGGAAGAGGTAAATCCTCTAGAAGCACGTCGTCTGGGCTGCCTGCTGCATCTTCTGGCTGCTGCTGCTGCTGCTGCTGCAGCGCGTGCTGCTGTATCTGCTGCTGCTGCTGTTGCTGCTGCTGCTGCGGGTGCTGCTGTATCTGCTGTTGCTGCTGCTGCGGGTGCGGGTGCTGCTGTATCTGCTGCTGTTGCTGCTGCATTTGCTGCTGCTGCTCTTGCCTGAACCATTCTTCTGGGCTAATTTCGGGCGGCTGCAGCAGCAAACCCTAAACCCTAAACCCTAAACCCTAAGCCCTCAAGCTAAAGGCTTGCAGCTCGCCTCTGCTGCGCCGTGCCAGGGTTTAGGGTTTAGGGTTTAGGGTTTCCTCAGCTCCAGGGTTTGCGCGGGCCTGGAACTTGCGGGAAGCCCACGGTCTGCGGCTAAGGGTTTAGGGTTTAGGGTTTAGGGTTTAGGGTTTACCGGGGGGGGCACTATGGGGAGAGATGGGGCCCCACTTTCAGGGTTTACAGGCCGCAACTCTCCATTAGGGTTTAGGGTATAAAGGGGGGGCCCCCCTTGGAGTTCTTGCTGCCTTTCAGCTTCTTTGTGTTTGCAAATTTGTTCCCAGCCCTCTGCGCGCAAACCCTAAACCCTAAACCCTAAACCCTAAACCCTACCAGCTGCTCCTTCGGGTCTGGGCTTTCCATGCGGCTGCGCAAACCCTAAACCCTAAACCCTAAACCCTAAACCCTAAACCCTCGACCCTGAGCCGCAGAGCTTTTGGACGGAGATAGCGAGCCTAAACCCCAAACCCTAAACCCTAAACCCTAAACCCTAGTCCTTAGAGCCTGTGGGCGAAGAGAGCCTAAACCCGAAGGACAGCAAGGAAGGCAGACGCTGGCTAGAGCAGAGAGAGGTAAGGGTTTAGGGTTTAGGGTTTAGGGTTTAGGGTTTAGGGTTTACTCCTGACACCAGCGCGTGCCCATGAGCTTGTGGACTGCAATGCGCATTCTATTGCAAGCCCCGAAGTAGCAGCTTGTGGGGTAAAAAATCGGTTCCTCCTGCTGCTGCTGCTGCTGCTGCTGCTGCTGCTGCTGCTGCTGCTGCTGCTGCTGCTGCGGTTTGGTTGGGGCAGGCGCCAGGGGTCTGCGCTTGAAGAGGCGGTAACTAAACCCTTCCTCTTCCCGGTAGAGTCCTGCGCACAAACCCCAAACCCTAAACCCCAAACCCTAAACCCCAAACCCTGAACCCTAAACCCCAAACCCTAAACCCTAAACCCCAACCCCCAAACCCTAAACCCCAACCCCGAAACCCTAAACCCTACCCCCCAACCGCAAACCCTGAACCCGCAGCGACCCCAGCGCAGCGCCCCCGCCCGCCGCGCGCCCCCAAACAAGGGACTAGGGTTTAGGGTTTAGGGTTTAGGGTTTAGGGTTTGGCGTGCCCCTGAGGTCCGCGAGCCAGAGCCCGCGGCCCCACTCGACCTGCAAGTCGAAGCAAACTGCTGCTGCTGCTGCCACTTCGCAAATATAATTTTCTTTGTTCAAA